GATATTTTATATTCAGCTGGGCATTATCATCAGTCGCCGAGACGGTAATTCGATGTCGACGTTGTAACTACATCAAGAGGCGGATCATTATGTATAGAATTATATTATTAGAGTCAATATATTGTATCCAGTGTATCTACTATCAATAAATGAATTGCGATTCCGACTTTCAAATGTATGACTCCTACCTGGTGAACGAGGCCTAATGTATTATGGAGGAAATTGCAGCTTCTCTTACGTATATGCAAGGAATATGAAATTTTACAAGGCTCTCGCATGACTCCGACAATTCATAATGGGAATGTATTTGTGTTGAAAATGTTGCCAAACGATGCGATAAAATATATTATGTTGAAATGAAAGCCGTAAGTAATGTGCTTGCAAGCATAAAAATGAAAGATGAAATTATTCCTTTCGCCATTTTCGTGAACGTTAATTATGAAACGAGCGTATCTAAAACTCGTTCCAACGCAAATAAATTTTTTATTAATATCAATTAATTTCAAGTGGCTGTAGAATGATTGTCGCAATGAGAGTAATCGTAATGTAATACTGATTTACAATCTCGATAAGAAAGTTATTAGCGATTATATTATTCTACATGTAATACGGTCGATCCGAGAAGCCTTATTTACTTATGGAATTTAATGAATATATTGGGTCTCATAAGGACAACCTTTGCATTTGTAAACTTGTCAAAATTATATTTAATTGATAAGTTGGAGAGCCGATTATGCAAAAATCCCGTAAATTTGTTTCAATTAGTTTGTACGAACGTAGTCGGGCCAATCTATATAGACTTTAGTTTTAAGTCCCCTAACAGCAACTTCCTCCGAGTCGAGAAAGACATGATAATATAATAATTATAATAATAATAATAATAATAATAATAATAAGAAGAAGAAGAAGAAGAAGAAGAAGAAGAAGAAGAAAAAGAAGAAGAAGAAGAAAGGAGATAATTGTAAATAATTCAAAACTTTAAAGTCCCCTTGCAGCGTAACAGTGAATGCGTGAAAAATCCATTTACGCGTACGTTCTTATCTATATGTGCGCCAAAACATTTAGTAAGCTTAGTAGAACATTGAATTTTTATTGAATAGAAAGTCAGAGCAAAAGAGATGGATAGAAATACAGAGACGTAAAGATAGAGAGAGAGAGAGAGAGAGAGAGAGAGAGAGAGAGAGAGAGAGTGAGTGAGAATGAGAAAACAATCATGTAAAAGAAACAACGTCAAATGATTATGACTTCCAACAATTTTGTAGGTTTAACTGTATAATACAAGCTTAATTTTTACAAACAAAACAAAAGATTGTTCATTTATTTTTACGATAATTAACTAAAGATATTGTAGAGTCATACAAAAAAAAAAAAAAGAATGATTTATTTATAAAAGCTCCAAAGTATTTAATGTACACAATATATAAATATATAAATATATATATATATGTATATATATGTTAACATTTTGTTACTTCCAAGCAAAATTTCCTTTATCGAATAGATTATTTTATTTAAAATTCTCGCATAGTAATTTTGACATTATTAAAAGATTTAAAAGCATATAATTATAAAAAATTATTATACCCTTATGATTCTGTTTAATTTGTATCGAAGAAGGTGGACTGTATACATTTAGTAATTTTATTTCATCATTTCGAAAATTAAATTACTTTACGTTAAAGTAAACAATTGTTACCAGTGATTAAAATAATCTTTATTCTTAATGTTATTGTTTTTTTTTTTTAGATTTTTAAACAAAAAACTATTTTAATTCGAAATCCCTATGTAGTAAAATCATTTAAGGAGCAAATTGTGATTTTTGCACAATTTTATGTTATCTCTGTTGAAACTACTTACGTGATAAAACATTTATTAATTAACATTATTAATTATTATTAATTAACAATTATTAATTAACATTAAAACTCAGAAGCAGGACTATTTAAAAGGAAGTTGTAATATTTAAAGAATTAATAATATGTCTCAATGTACCATAGTCCTTTTACCCAAAAAGCACGATATTTTTCACTTTTATATGCAAAAACATTCACTGCTCAAATATTTGTTGCAATTACAATTGCATATAATGTTATAATTAATCTTTGAAATTTACTTTGATTTACTTTAGTGTAATTTCAACAACTTTTTTTTATTTTCACAAATCCATCGAGTTAACGAAATTTACTATAATTGAAATTTTTTTTTTGTTTTTTATTATTTTCGTAAATAAAGAAATTATTGATACTCTGCATTCTTAATCATTATCACCAGACCTCATGGATCATTCCAAATCATTCCAAATCCCTAATATCACCACTGCAGTTCACTTTTTCAGAGCAATTAACCTCACAATTGAAAAAGCTATTTAAAAAGTATTATTTAATGTGAGATTAACAAAAAAAAAAAAAAAAAACAAAAAAACAAAAGGTTCCAAACTCCTTCGAAGATGTAAAAACGTACTAGAAGATTTTCATACGAGAAATTTTCTCTATAAAAAATGTTAATTGCATAAAAAGTACAAACAGTATATACATTTTACGTAATTTCGGTACATATTTAATCGATAAAATAGACGACAAAAGTCTTTTGTAAAAAAGTGTAAAATCTAAAGCAAAACCAGAAATTCTAAACGGATCTATACAAATTTTATTTCAAACTTGCAATTCGAACTCTACAAGCCGCATTTAATAACAGAAATTCATGTTTTATGTAACTACAATGAATACAAGTATCTCGGATCATTTTTTAATCTCAAATGGATTTACATCACAAATGAAAATAATAAGTCGAAGCAATGAAAAGACGATAACAAAACTAAAACAAAATGAAATTTAGACCAAATATCGATTGGGTCTTTACACCGACTTTATTATAAGTGCGAATGGTCACAGTTAAAGAGGAAAATGTAAGAAATTTAAAGCTATAATTTGAATTCAAATTCTCAATATACACATTATACGTAAGATCTTATGAGAGGCATTAACTTCTCGGTAATGACAATTGACAATTAATTATTATACGGCAGCTGTCGAATAAAATTTGTATAAATGTTTTAGAAATATACCAATGAGAATTGTAAAGAGAAGAAGAAGAATGAGAAGAGGAAGATGAAGATGATATCGAAGAAGTGATTACGAGATGTTACGTGTACATACATAGCTTCGTGTACATGTTTATATGCATATTTACGCGCGTGCGTGCGCGCGCGTGTGTGTGTGTGTGTGTTATGTATGCATAGAAAGGAAATAAATAGAACGAGAATATGAAAACGAGCGATGATATAAAATTGGGAAAGTACGAAGGAAAAGTGTAGGCGTAGAAAATTCGTAATATTGTGTATAGATTCACTATATGTATTGATAACTTTTAAGTATGCTAAATAAAACTTCGACGTGATGACTGTATATTTCTATGTTGACCATGTTTTGAAACAATGCAAATAAATAAAAATTATAATAAAGAAAGAAAATGACAAAAATAAATTTATATATTTGTGTGTATGTATGTATGTATGTATGTATGTATGTATGTATGTATGTATGTATGTATGTATGTATGTATGTATGTATGTATATATATATATATATATATATATATATATATATATATATATATATATATATATATATATAATTGCGGATGGAAATAAATTTTATATTTCGTGTTACAAATATAATGCATAAAATATACATTGTATGATGATAAATTATGATTGAGATAAATTAATTCACCTTTAGAACTCACGTTTGATCATTAAACGCAATTATTGTACTGTGCAATAAAACTATCGATTTATGACTTCGCATCTTCTTTCATTAAATAAATTCATAATTTTTCCTTAAACAATTGCGTTTTATTCATCATGCCGCAACAAAAATTATATATAATACCATTCGTTATACTACCCTCATTGCGTAGAAGATAATCCTTTTCAATTATTTCTAGCTTCATATTACACTAACGACGGAGTAAATGAAAATGTTCAATCATTTTATTAAAAATATTAATAAAGCTAATGGTCTTGATTATAAGAGAATGGAAATTCACGATACGTGGAGAAATTTTTTTAAAACCTTCGCCTTTTCAATCGAAACATTAAAAATATATTGATTTTTTAACGATGCGAGTTTAATTTTTGTTTTTTTTTTGTTTTTTTTTTTGTTTTTTTTTTTTTGTTTTTTTTGTTTTACCTCTCAAGAGTGCATTTGTTATTATGGGTTTGTAAATTTCGCAATGTCTGCCTTCTGTACATTCTGTGTAGGTTGCGTAAGCTGCAAAAAAGAAAACCTTATAATCGCTGCACCACATATTGTTTAGAGGAGTCTCACCGATCCTGAAAATCTTTTCGTCCTGCAAAAGAATGGCCACTTAGAATTATCCTGGATATAGCGTATTTATCACTATTCGATTTATCGACTTTAGCAAACGCGTCCGACATCGCGATTATTAATAAATATTCGCACAAGTATATCGATTTTCGAAAGATCATAGATTTGCAAATTATACGTAATAGCAATCGCCATCCATTCGAACAATTCCAATTACCCGAATAATCAAATGTTTCAATACTTTACCTCTCATCGTACGACATACCTACAGAATTTTTAAAACAGATACCTTAACAATCTCGAGAATCTTTATTAATTTCATAATGAATACCTCGGAGCTGCTCCGAGGAGAAAATAGTGGGAAAAGGGTGCGAAAAGGGAGCGAACCAAAGTTCACCGAATCGCCGCTCGGTCGTTTGATTTTTGCATTCTGACCGTTGGCTTTGTTAAAAATTGTATGAAAAATTGTATGAAAAATTGCATGAAAAATGTAATTAGGCCAGTTAGACCTGGCAGACGGCAGCTTATAAACAGAGGGAGAAAATCGCATTGGAATGGTCGCTAAGAGTCCGCCGATTGTAAATGCTCGTGGATTATCGACTCGTGTAAATGCGTAGCAACGAGATTGGGTCCCAAAGAGTTTGGGCCTATCGCCCGTTCATTAGCCGATAAATCGTCGAGTCGTTTGAAAAATTACACGTCTAGTTGGATCGATGGGCGACATTTGATACTCGATCTTCTGGCTTCGAGATTTCATTTACCCGTTTTATGTCCATTATTTATATGCACTATCGACCATTTTAAGTCCATTGATTTTCATTATTCGAGCAAATTTTGAACTTCTTAGTATACTTTCCGACAATGTTTATTTCTAAATCTTCCTCTAGGTACGCACGAATTCATATGCACCGAAGAATAAAATATTCGAAGCCCAGTTTCACAAAACTTTAAGCATCTATTGCTAAATCTAAAATGTCCTGATATATATATATATATATATATATATATATATATATATTGGTTGAGATGTATGTTTATTTCAATAAATATAAGACTTTGACAAGTGAATTATTAGCACAGGATTATCGAATGATTGTACTAAATATTTGGCATGACATTACAGTTTCAATATTATAAAATATATGCATCTTTAATGCGGCAAATTGTCATTTTTTTGTTTTTATTTTTAAACGAGTGCTCGCCTTATTATGAAACGTAAATTAGCGAATGAATTACAATTGTTTAAAAGTTTCGGATGCTCTTTATCGATGATTTTTTTCACTTAAAAGTTAACTCTTAGATTTCATTAAAAAGTTCCATCGTGTCGTAACAATGACTATGTAATTACATGATTTAATTACTAGAGGAACTTTGTACTCTATGCCGAGAATTTTTGAACCTCAATTTAATAACATTATATAACAAATTATATGTACATATAAGTTTACATTGACAAAAGATTTATTATAATATAAGGCATTGAGAATTTGATATTAAACTCAAACAATCAATAGATATAAGTAATATTTTTTTTTATTTACTTCTAATATATATGTAATAACAGGGAGACTATTTTTTTTTTTTTTTTTTTTTTTTTAACGAGACTTTAAATTGAATGACATTAGGTAAAAAGCATTAGCGAATACCGTAAGCTTTGACATTATTTTACAACTTTTTACTATTAGTTAAAAGCAAAGGCTTGAAATACGTTTTAAACAATAATTGTACTCGTCAAAAAAGATAATAATTGTACGACGATAAAGTGCAAAGAAAAAAAATTTTATAAAAATATTTTTAAATTAATTCGATATATCGGTGAGAATGGCGATGTTTACGTAGAAAATCTAATCAATAGTTCGATGAATGTTAACATTATTTATTATATCGACATATTGTTTATTAAAAATTAAAATCCAGAACAACGACAATTATGCTGCTGCTGCTGCTGCTTTTGTTGCTGTTATTGTTAGTTAGGAATTATGTGAAATGCGAGCCATTGTTGAAGCCAATGATTTTTATTGTGCTGTAAGATTCAATAAAATCCAGCAAATCTGGGGGCAGATATGATGAATTGACATTGGCCGATGGAGCTCTCTTGGTCGACTTAAGGGCTGCAGCACGGGTACTTTTCACTATCAGCGATCTAATAAAATAAATTCGATGAACACGTGTATTAAAAGTTTCAAAGTCCATTACTTTTGTATCCAAGTGTCGTGTGTTGGGCGGCGGATGATGGATAAGTGAAAGAGGCGAGAACCACCGAGCCCCCGAGCTGCCTCCCGGTGTATAATAATCATGAGCCATTGGCTGTTAAATGGGGAGAGTAGGGCACCGGGTAATTACGTAGTGCGTAGCAAGAGGTAGATTATGCGAGCGAGAGACGGGCGTCGAGGAGGCTCCTACGTCTCGTGGTGGTGGCAGCACATTTTTCCATTTTTCGCGCGGAGGGTAACGGCGAACGGTCGAAGCAGCAGATTCTTCGAGTTTTGAAAATTGTGTCGCCATCTGCCAGCGCGCGATCCGAGAATACGTGGAAAATGATGGGGCTGCATCTGTCAAACGCCAGTCCACTTGACAGCATCAGCATTTTGAATAACGAATTTTCCGCAATTGGTCCTCATAGAGGTTAGTTGGCTGTGCGAAGCAGCTCGGACGTTATTTAAAAGGCGTTGCGTCGATTTTTCGGACTTTCCGATGGGAAGAGCTTCGAGGGCGTGGCACTTGAATCGCAGACTTATCAATTTATTAAATCACGTACATACAATTATTGCATTCTAGTCTGTCGTTATTGTTAATCGAGGCTTTCATCTATTTAGTTATTTATTTATTTATTTCTTTTTTTTTTTTTTTTTTTTTATAGTCAAGGATGTACGGACTTATTTAAAGACTACTGAGCGTATTATTGGGCATTCCAAGGCTTTTCGTGCGCAGCTTATAATCAACGACGAATCGTTCAATGTGCCTTAATCGATTTTTGAGGTTAGAATTTTATGTTTAGCGAGGAGCGTTTGTCGAGAAGGACGTGGACTCAATAGCTGGATATTAATTTCACAGATTGTGCGTTGAGGTTTAGTAAAAAACAAAAAACAATAAACAAAAAAACAAAAAACAAAAATTAAAAACAAAGAGAGAGAGAGAGAGAGAATAGGCCTTCGATTAACCCGAATGCCCGTGATTGCTATTTGAATAGGACCTTACGAGACAATTGTAGGTTAACGTTTAAAAAACCGATTGTTACTTTTTCATTACAGATTCAAGCGAATAGAGTGCCAATTGTAGCGTATAATGCCACTGTTAAAGAGATAAGCATTCGTGGAAGAGAACGATCGTCAGTATGGAGAAGAGAGGGAGCGCTGAGCTTCTGAACGTCGAACAGAGTAATTCCAAAAATGCCAGTTCCGATTCGCTCAACTCTGACAGTAAAAGCAGCTCGCTTAATTCTAAAATAGGACAAGAATCGGTAAATATCGTTCATTTGACAAATATCTCAATGCGTACTGACTGCTCTGTCGAGAATCGCATGGAAATAATGATATCTTTACCTTTAAATGCTCCACTTACTTATGCAAAATATAGGAAAGTTGGGAAAAGGCGTCTCGTTCGAAGAGCTTTTCGACAAGCTCGACTTCAACGGATAATAATATCATTTCGGCTCTAGAAACTAATAAAGAGAATCAAGGAAAAGAGGATTTGGTAAAACTGTTGTTAAGTAAAATAGTTAATGGAAAGTTTTTGCTTTGCTTTTGTTGTCAAAGTCACTTGTTTAAAACTTTTTTATTATAATAGTAGCTTGTTGAGTTTAGGTACTACGGCTTTAAATAATTCTGTAGTACGGACAAATATTGCGCATGATATGTGAGTATGTGGATTGACGAGGAATGCCAATTACATGAAATTGTCAATTTTAATTGCCATGCCGTGGTATTATTTTCTTTCTTCTTTTTTTTTTTTTCTTTTTCCTTACCTTTTTCTTCTACACTTCCTTTTACATTTACACCTAACTAGAGAATACACCGCCCCGAATAGAATAGAATAATGAATTTATGTTTTTCACTGTACCTTTATGTAAATTTCATTTTCCGTAACGGACTACCGAATCAAATGTATGGAAACGTAGCATGTTGCTATGCATGTGACAAACCATTTAATCGCACTTTTTATTTAGAATTTAACTGGAAACGAGACGGGACCGCCGCTTCTCAATGGCGAACGTGTTCAAGGTGTTGCCCGCGATGTCACATACCTGTGTCCCTACTCAGGACCAGCCCGAGGAGTGCTCAGTGTCACAAACTACAAGCTACATTTTCGCAGCATCGATAGAGAAACTCCTTATGTGGTTGATATGCCCTTGGGAGTCGTTAGTAGAATCGAGAAAGTCGGCGGCGCATTAAGTAGGGGTGAAAATTCTTATGGAATAGAAATCTTTTGCAAAGATATGAGAAATCTGAGATTTGCGCACAAGCAGGAAAATCATTCCAGACGAAACGTTTTTGAAAAGCTGCAGCAGTATTCCTTCCCTTTGTCGCACAATATGCTTCTCTTTGCTTATGAGTATTCCGAAACCTTTCCGGATAATGGTTGGAACGTGTATGAACCAATCGCCGAACTTAAACGTATGGTAAGCACAATTGCCGCCGCCGCTGCCGCTGCCGCTGCTCCGCTAATATAAATAAATAAATAAATAAATAAATAAATAAATAAGTAAATAAATAAAAATGAAAAGAAAAAAGAAAAAAGAAAAAAAAAAATCATGCAAAAGAAAGGCTGACTTTTGAGTATCGCAACTAGTATCGCATCTTATTTTCAGGGAATAAACAATGACATGTGGAAGATATCAAAGATAAACGATCTATATTCGATATGCGATAGTTATCCGGGGGTTTGGGCAGTCCCAACAGCAGCGACCGACGAAGATCTCCAGTCGTCGGCAGCGTTCAGGAGCAGAGGTAGGCTCCCGGTCCTCTCCTGGATCCATCCGGAAAGCCAGGCGACTATAACACGTTGCGCCCAGCCACTTGTCGGAGTCGGGGGGAAGAGAAGCCGCGAAGACGAGAGGTACATACAGTTAATAATGGATGCCAATGCCCAAAGTCACAAGCTCATTATAATGGACGCACGGCCAATGGCTAATGCCGTAGCGAATAAAGCCAAGGGTGGCGGTTACGAAAGCGAGGATGCTTATCAGAATAGCGAGGTTGTCTTTCTTGACATTCACAATATTCACGTGATGAGGGAAAGTCTGAGAAAGTTGAAAGGTAGGTTAGAGTTTTTGGTATTAGCGCGTGGTCGCGTGCTAATGATCCATGGCGAATAATGCGAATGATTTTACGGCAGAATTGTGTTTCCCGACTATCGACGAAACCCGGTGGCTATCGGGCTTGGAGTCAACGATGTGGCTAAAGCACATCAAATGCATCCTCACTGGAGCGGTGAAGATAGTTGCCAAGGTCGAGACTCACAAGACTTCCGTATTGGTTCATTGTTCCGATGGCTGGGACAGAACGGCACAGGTTCGTAAACGTAAAGTTTTTCGCCTCCTCTCGTCGCATCCCGCGATCTAAATAATCCATCGATTAATCATCAATGCCTTACGCAGTTGACGGCCTTGGCGATGCTGTTGTTGGATCCGTATTATCGAACCATCAAAGGCTTTGAGGTTTTAATAGAGAAGGAATGGCTTAGCTTTGGTCACAAATTTCAACAGGTAAATAATAAGTAATGCAAATAATACAAATAATGCATATAGTAGTAGTAGTAGTAAGTAGTAGTAGTAGTAGTAGTAGTAGTAGTAGTAGTAGTAGTAGTAGTAGTAGTAGTAGTAGTAGTAGTAGTAGTAGTAGGTCCCTATCGCGGTAATGCTTATTTGAATTGTCCTTTGAAATAATCAGAGAATCGGTCACGGCGATGAGCATCATAGCGACGCGGATAGATCGCCGGTCTTCGTTCAATTTATCGATTGCGTTTGGCAAGTGAGCCAGCAGTTCCCAAATGCCTTCCAATTCAACGAGCACTTTTTAACAACGATATTGGATCATCTTTATTCCTGCCGCTTTGGCACTTTCTTGTGCAGCAGGTATATCATCAATATAATTTGGATTTTCAAGCAAATGAATAAATCGCCACGTCTTCGTACGTCGCCTATAATAGCCTATAACAGCCAACGCCTATAATACGTTTCAGCGAAAGGGAAAGGGTGCAAGAGAGATTGAAGGAGAGAACGGTGTCCCTTTGGTCTTACATCAACAATCAAATACCGTTTTATCAAAATCCTCTTTACTGGGATGGTCCGAATCATCAGCTAGTTTTAATACCGATTGCCAGTATGCGATACATCAAACCATGGAAAAGCTTTTACTGTAGATGGAATCCCAGTATGCGACAACAGGTAAATTAATGTCACTATTATAAAGGCTTTTAAAATCTAACGCGAATTGCCGATGTCATTGATGATTATCGGCAAATAATAACAACGATAATAACGATAATGATAATGATAACGATAATGATAACGATAATGATAATGATAACGATAATGATAACAATAATGATAATAATAACAATAATAATAATAATAATAATATTTGAAAGCTCGCTCTGGTTAAGGGAGTATTTTATTACTCTTCAGTGCCTTCACGACCTATCGCCCCTCCATTATTCAACGCGTCAATATTATCATAAGACATAATATTAGCTATTTAAGCTCAACGTAAATTTTCAACTTTTCAATTATAATGATTCGCGTGAGACAAATTTTGACAAATTTTTGTCGATTCGACAATGTTATTATTTATCGCTTGGAGCTTTAAAGCTAACCAGATGCCGCTCGATTAATATATATAATTGACCTCACGCCGCGGATAGCCACTTTACGAGTGGTGAGTTCCATGTGGACTCGACTCACTGGACAGGCCGAGTCAGAGTCAAACTCAAGTTTAACAACCTCTTCTTGCAGGATCCCGTCTACCAGCGAACGCGCGAACTTCTAGTCCAGAAGGAGCAGTTGAAGAAAAAGGCGGAGGAGTGTCGGCGCGAGCAGGCCAGCCGCACAAATCGCACCCTCAACTCCTCGGCGCCGCCCCGGCTCCACTCGCCCGTCCATTCTTAGCAGTGTCCGGTCGACCAGCCCCGCCTCCTCCTCACCTGCAGCTTTGTAAATGAGCCTTAGACCCTCGAACCTGCACCCGCGCCAACATGCAAATGCATTACGGACAAGAATCTATCGCATTGTGATTTTATCGCGCAAAGCGACACTCGCTCGTCTAACTGAATCGACCGTCGCCTTTTGTACAAAGCGCCACTCTGTAAAACTTTTATCCCATTAATGTTAAAAGGAAGATACGATTGGTAGAGCAAGAGCGTAGTAAAGCACTTTTTTGTGGATCTTCAGCATGTATGTGTATATATATATATATATATATATATATATATTGAAATCATAATTAGTAAAAATAAGAAAGAAAGAAAGAAATAAATAAATAAATAAATAATAATAATGATAATGATAAAGCATCCCATCGACGCGTGCTCAAGAATTTCGGACGTTAAAGATTTTTACTTTATTTTCTTTTTATTTATTTATTCCTTTTTTTTTTTAAGTTACTCTCATTATCAACTTATTTATATACGGATGATGATAGGGCGAAAATTGAAAAAATTGAATAATATTAGACAACGTAAGGGAAAGAAACTATTAGCTTGGGATAGTTATAAGCTGAAATGATAATAGCTTAAGTCTTCGCCGACACGACACCCGAATATTAATCGCTTTCCAACTGCATTCTCTTTTGTTTTCACTTTACTGGTGTTCTCTGCGCAGTTGTGCATACGCGATGTTTCTCTTTTATGAGGTAGAAAGTCGTGAGTGGACTTTACGTAATTTGGAAAAATAGCCTTAACAATATTGCTGCTCTCGCGTGTGTTCCTAAGTCAAGATTATTGATTAGTAAGTACACATGGATGATGAAGTATCGATAATTTAAAAGGATCACGACATTGTCGAGAAGCGCTTATGTTATACAATCGAACTCATTTACAAAATATTTACTTTTTTACATTCGACTTAATGCAATTTAGAGATAAGCAAGAGCCTTTTGTCCTTGAGAAGGTGATTTTCCATTTTACCATGACTTTCGTCATAAAATTGATAATCATAATAACGTTAACTTGGTAACTAATTGTTTGTTCGCTGTCGCGTCGGTCGTTAATGTTTCTTCCTCGATCATCACTTTTTTTACTTTTCGACTCAAGATTTTGGTTTTTTGCAAGCTCGATAAGGGATTGAGGGAAGGAGGAGAGCCTTTAGGAATGTGATAACAAAAAAATTTGTTTTTTAATTTTAACTTATGCCGTCACGTTATATGTTCATCGAAATCGCTTAATTTTTTTATTTATTTATTTTTTTTTTTCTATTCTCCAAGTCTCGCAATTTCGTAAACAAGGAACGCTAATCTAGCTAATCCAGAGCATTCATCGTTCTCTGAATTGTCCGATCATTCGTTCAGCAAGCGCGCGTGCTCTTTTATAAAGCGAATAGTAAAATTTGCTCGATTACCATTTTAAATGAATGATGACAGTGTATCGTATGCGTATATATGTTGTTAATTGCGTATGAAAATTTTCAGCTAATATTACATTGACGTCCAGCTTAACATTAAAATTACCTATGAGTAACGAAGGAAGTTTAATTAAATTATCGTAAAAAAATCCTCTAATCTTTATTAGTATTTTTCAATTGTATATTTCAGAGTAATTTCAGAGATTTATTCTCTATCGTGAAATGACAACTGGAGGAAGAAAATTTTTGTTTATACATATATATATATTATTTTTTTTTTGTTCTTCTTTTTTTGTTATCAGAAGCCGTTTTACGCGCGCTTAGCGTTGACTTTAATGAATCTCTTCTTATCGTTGATTGCTCTCGCTATTTTAATTGTAGCGAGATAAAAGGAAGAACGAAAAAAACGAAGCCATGTATCATCGCTTTCTGACGCTGATGAACGAACGCATCAACAAAACCGTCGGCGTCTCCAACATCAGAGATAATACGTATGAGCACAGATACGTCATCATCAGATTGCCCATGAATATTGCCCCCTATTGAAATACAAAATAGAAAAAAATGTTTATATTAAATACGGTCGACTTATGTGTATAATTTTAATTAGTTGAGCAATAAAGTATTAACAAACAAACAAAACAAAAACAAAAAAAAGATCGAAAACATGACAAGAAACAAACGTAAAAGAAAAAAAATAGAAATACAATGATACTATGTGTGATGAGCTTACGTTTGGCAATGTATCCACGTGGACAGCCGTCTCGCTTTGCAGATAAATTGAATTAATTAAAAATGGATTAAGTAGATAAGCGCAGTACGTCAGTCTACTTAGCGGAATCCAGGCCTTAAAACAAAGTATTTTGTTCACAATTCCTGAAATGCACGTTCGTAATATTAGCCGATACATTGTCGAGCTTATGATGTCTTTAATTGGCATTGTCTATTTAATAAAAATTCTCTATGATAATTATCGAGCAGTTTCGTACAAACTCCTCTGTAACACTTAGGTGTAAGGGATTTTTGAAGGATTGTTAAACTCCCGCTAAGTTGGATCAGTAGTCCGATGTAATGGTAAATTTGTCAAATAAAAGTTGATTATGCTTAATCGTACTTAACATTGTATAATGCATTATTACGAGAGCTATTTTTTATTATTATATTGGAAACAAGTTACAATTATTACATAATCGTCTATGATTTTAGATTTTACATTAAACATACAGTCCACTTATGGCCAATTTTTCAATTAGTCGATAAAAAAAAACATGGCACATACAAGTATTTAGCAATATTTTGACTGACTTCTAATGAGTGTCGTAAAGTAAGTAAATTAAATTAGTGGTGAAGTTAAAATCATTGGCAGAGCTACAGCGTTGAATGGAAATTATTATGTTATTATTTTAGTTTTTCATGGTCGTACGCGCGAATAAACAAAAAAAAAAAAAAAAAAAAAAAAAAAAAAATAAGAAAACAAATCGAGCGTTAAATTTGCTTTTAAATTTATCAAAGCAAAATTACTGATTATTCAAACATGATTTATTAGTCTTATGTAATGAAATATCAAGCACGTGAATTCGTCCAATTGAATATTAGAAATTTTAATCCACTTACTACTACGTTTTAAAAAAATTTATTAACTAATTTATCATTGAAATTGAAAATTCTCGAAAACATCGTACTTTCTATCGATGTATTTGCTAAAAGTACAAAGTCTAATTCTTGCCCCCCGCCCTCCCTTTCCTATTCTCCCCCATTAGATAAACCACGATATTTCGTCTCATGTTCGTCTGGATCAGCCGGCCTGATCATCGCCTCCTTCTTTTACGCTCAACATCAATGGAGCAATCGTGAGCGAAGAGAGAGGCTAACATCAATCTGTAATCATTTGGCTCGCGACGACTCGAATGATCTATAAGCAAACGTGACGGCTTTCTCGGCGTCCAAGCCGACGATCACGCAACAGGCAAAAGCCACTTGGATACTCGTGCACGCACGAGTTAAGGAAGTGAAAAATTGGAAAGGTGGCGTGAGTGGGTGTTATACCACCGTGTCTGGTGCAACAAGCGACGAGGAGCCAAGAGAGTCCGATGGCCCAGAGGGTCCTGCTGCAGGCGA